AGTATCATATTGTTTGCAAAACTGAAGCTTATGGGATGAATCCATTACTAAGGAGTTAGTAGCTGGACATTGTAGTACAATCATGCAGAGTCAACATGGTTCTGTGAAATAGAAATTAAGTTTGACTAATTTAATAGAGCTCTTTGGGGAAAGAGCAAGAAATTGTTTAAAGAGGACCCTGTAGATATGGTGTACTTGGATCTCAAAAAACTTTTAATAAAGTGTCACAGCAAAGGTTACAATACATAGTAAGAGCTCATGGTGTGGAAGTGGCATGTGTAGAGGACTGGTTGATGAACAGGAAGCAAAGAGTCGGGATAAATATCCATTTTCAGTTTCGCAAGCTGCCACGAATGAAGTTCTACAGGGATCGGTATTGGAGCCTCAACTATTTATGATCTATCAATTACTTGATTGAACATACGGAATGTAAGTTTGCTAAATTTGATGATGACACAAAAAAAGGTATGAAAATAAGTTGTCACAAGGAGGTAAAAAGTTAGATTTTATGCTTGGGGGTAGTGTGAACTGTTTGATATTTTTAACAAAGGCTGCTGTACAGGTTAATACACTGGGGGTGGCCTTAAGGAGGTGAGTATAGAATTTGCATCGGTCAGGGACAGGTAAATCCCTTTTGCGACCTGCTGGCTAATACGATGGGCAGGCAGCTGAGTAGTCTCAACAGTGACAAAAGCAAATAGTGAGTGCTGCTGGGATTACAGTGATGTGCTTGGTAGCAGTGACATGGATGCTAGAATAAAGTAAGCAGAGGCTGTTTGGGCAGAAAGGAATTGGGGACCCTTTGCGACGAGGAGGCAAGGGTTGTGGTATTTGCATTTTGGAGACCAATGGTGAGGCATAAAAGTAGATAGTATCTTAAGGGAGTTACTCTAAGATGCACAAAGCACATCCCAAAGAAGGTTACACATCTGGAATACTGTGTACAGTTTTGATCTCCTAACTTAAAGGTCATAGCTGCATTAGACACAGCTTGGAGTAGGATCATCGACTGATTTCTGGGATGAAGGGTTTAACTAAAGAATAAGGTTTGAATAGATTGGACTTTTTACTCTTGGAGTTTTGAAGAATGAGCAGTTACTGAATATTATTTTGAGAGTTTACATGAGGTTAATTTCGTATTATTGAAGCATATAAGATCCAGAAATGATTTAACAGGCTGGATGCTAAGAGGATATTTTCCCTTGTGGAGGTGTTTAGGAACATAGAAACCAGGAACAAGAGTAGGCTTTTTAAGCCTGCTTGGCCATTCAATATGATCATGGCTGATTCTCTATCTCAACACCATATTCTCACTTTTTCTTCATACTCTGTGATTCCTTTGATATCTAAAACATTAACAGTTGTAGAAATCTGGGATGCAGTTTAGAAATAAGGGGTATTCCATTTAAGCTGGAAACAAAAAATTTTCTAAACTCAGAGTGTCATTAGCCTGTTGATGTCTCTTTTCCAGGGAGCAGTAGAGACATGGTTATTGAAAATATGTTCAAAGTTGAGTTAGGGAGACTTTTGATTGACAAGACAATCAAGGATTATGGGAGATGGACAGGAAAGTGGAATTGAGGTCACAGTCAAATCAGCAGGGATCTTATTGTTTGGTGGCGATGGTTTCAGAGACCAGATGGCCTGCTATTGCTCCTAATTCTTGTATGCTTCTGTGAGTAACTGGCTGTTTTCTTCAGAGGCACATTATAAGAAACCGCTTGTTTTTCTTTTAAGTAACCATCAAAAACAAAGTACTGCAGATGCAGATCTGACGTAAGAATAGAAATTGCTGAAGAAACTCAACAGATCTGGCAGCATCAACAGAGAGAGAAACATTATGAGTCCAATGTGGCTCTTCAAAACAGGATCAATTAGCTCACCTTTGTACTCAGAATGACTTCATTGGTCAATTTTTTTAAGATCAAAACTCATCTGATACCTTTGAAGACCAAGGTGTGGAATTAGACAAGTTACATGAAGGTTTTATGGACAATAGTTGTGTGAGGCGGTTCCTCAGAGTGAGAAGATTCAGGTTGTCTGTCCATTCCTAGTTGACTCATTAGAATCTTGGGAAGAGGAGATGAAACGATTTCCCTTTGAAGATATCAAAAGTTACATTGCACCACTCTCAACGATTTTTGATAGGAGGCCAGATAAACTCAGCTTCATCACCATTGCCTAGTTCCCAGGAAGAATGTTCTTCAAAACAGGAAAAGACAGAGAATTATAGAACTCTATAGCAGAGAGGAAGACATTTCACTGTGTTGCTGATGACTATCTCAAGGAACAGTTCAGTTTGTGCCACACATAGACAGGATAGTTAAAAAAAACATTTAGCATGCTTGCCTTTGTTGCTCAGTCCTTTGAGTATAGGAGTTGGGATGTCATGTTGAGGTTGTACAGGATGTTGGTGAGGCCTCTTCTGGAGCACTGTGTCCAGTTCTGGTCACCCTGTTATAGGAAGGATATTATTAAAATGGACAGGGTTCCGAAAAGATTTGCCAGGATGTTGTCATGAATGGAAGGTTTGAGTTATAAAGGAAGGTTGGATAGGCTGGGACTTTTTTCACTGGAGCATAGGAGCTTGAGAGGCGACCTGATAGAACTCTATGAAAAGAAACTGAGGGGTTTAGATAGAGTTAATGGTAGTTGCCTTTTCCCTAGAGTGGGGGATTTCAAGACTGGGGACACGTTTTAAGTTGAGAGGAGCAAGATTTAAAAAAGACATCAGGGGCAAATGTTTTATACAGAGGCTGGTTCGTGTGTGGAATAAACTTCCTGAGGAAGTGGTGGATGTAGGTGCAATTACAACGTTTAAAAGACATTTGGAAAGTACATGAATAGGAAAGGTTTAGAGAGATATGGGCCATGAGCAGGCAGGTGGACTAGTTTAGTTTGGTATTATGCTCAGCATGGACTGGTTGGACTGAAAAGTCTGTTTCTGTGTTCTGTAACTCTATGACATGCCCCTGCCCTTTCCCCATCAACTTCAAATTTCTTTTTCTCTTCAGGTACTTTTCCAATCCCCTTTTCAAAGTTACGATTGGACCTGTCTCCACCAGATGCCCAAATCCTAACCACTCACATCATTAAAAAAAGCGCTTCCTCATGTCTCCACTGGTTCTTTGCCAATCACTTTAAATCTGAGTGTGCAGTTTCTCAATTCTTCTACCGCTGGGAACAATTTATATTGACTCTGTACAGACTCCTCATGATTTTTAACATTGTTACATCTCTTTCTTTAACCTTGTCTGCAAGGAGGACAGCCCTAGTGTATTGATTGGAACCATTGCCAGGTAGATCTCATTGACTATGAGATCCTTGATTGGAACTGTTAACCTGGGCCAATCAGGGAGCCCTGGCTGACAGATATAAACAGAGATTCAGAAGGTCTCTTCAGTCTAGAGACTGGCTTTAAGCTAGTTGGTCACAGCCCGCGTACTGTGCACATGTAAATAAAGGTGACTTGTTGACAGGGTACTGGCCTCTGTGCAGTTATTCCACCTAGCTTCTCCAATTTACCTCAGCCCTAGGTTAAAAAAGGAATCAAGGAAATGATTGGCAACAAAACACTATTCTTGTATTGGACAATGTGTAGCAAATATAAAGGAATATTATCTGTACTTGGAGAAACTAAATGAAGATTCACTGTCCTTGTGTAAATTATGGTGAAATATTCACTGTCCTTGTACAGTAACTATGAGGAATATTTATTGACTTTGACAAGATTGCATGAAATAATTAACTATTTTTGCAAATATTATGTGAAGAAGATAAATTATGTATGGTTTATGTAACTGTTTTATGGAAGTATTTGTTGAAATGTGATATTGAGGTGCTTTTGTGTTCTTGGTCAGGATGTCCAGAAAACAACTCAACACTGTTAGTATATTTTATATGGAGCTAGATTCCATCTGGCTTTCTCACAATGTGTAAATGTTCTAATTGTACTCATTGTGCAAGTAACGTTTCACAAGTCAGCTACTACACATATGATATTACGTTGTGGGTTCAACAATCTATGTCATATCCATGCAATGCAATGGCAGTGCACAAAAGTGTTCAATTCTGCATTAAATAGTTACTGGACTGTCCCTGGAGAAACATGGAAAATAGGAACTGGAGTAGACCATTCAGCCCTTCAAGTCTGCTCTGCTGTTCAATATGATCAAAGCTTCATCCAACTCAGTCCCCGTTCCTCCTTTTCTCCTGTTTCATTTAATCCCTTTAGCGCCAAGTGCCATATCCAACTCCTTCTTGAAATCATACAATGTTTCTGTCTCAGCTGCTTTCTGTGGTAGTGAATTCCATCAGCTCTCTGGTTGAAGAAATTTCTCCTCATCTCAGTCTTAAATGTTTTACTCTGTATCCTTAGACTGTGACCCCTGGCTCAGGAACCCCTGCTATCTGAAGCTCCAGGAATCAATAGTATGTCAGGACATGAATCAAAATCTGAATGGTTGAATTTACCCAACACACAGAGGTAGCTTTAGTCATTGGTTGAGGGGATAGGAAAATAGGATTGACTTCTGTGAGGCTGGCTCCCAAACATGTTCCCTCTTCTCTATGATTTTCCTAAATGTGGGATCTCAGCAACAACAGCTATTCATCTGGTAGCAGCATGTAATCAATCAGGGCAATTAATGGGGCAATTAATCCTTGTTGTGGAAATGGATTGCAATTTTTCCAATACATACAGGCTATATCACAAGCCCAGAAATTGAGCTGAGACAGCTTCACAACAGGGAGGTCTGAATCACCAACCATACAAGGCTTCTTAAGTTGCCTGCATTATATCACAGTGCTCTGGCCACCTGAAGCAAAAGGCATGGTGTTGCATGTATTTTTAAAGACTGGTGCTCTGCTGGTGCTGAGCCCTCGCTGAAAAGGTAGACAGCAGCCCTATCCACAGACCATTCTGACCAGACTTTCCAACATTGAAGATAAAGTCAAACAACACGGCAAGAAGTGTGATGTACTTCATGTTTGTTGTGCAGGCGTGAGATTTACCACGTCCAGAAAGAACTCCTAAAGGAACGGACACGGTGCAGGGCCCTCGAGGAGGAGTTGGAAAATCCTATGAATGTTCACAGGTGGCGAAAGCTTGAGGTGACTTTAATTTTATTTCTTTCACTTTTGCATTCATTAATATTTTGAATGATGATTAGTTTACAGCAGTAACTCCCTTCTGACTAGACATGCTTATTGCCTAAAACATGATCTATTTAATTCAGCCTCTAGGTCCACACAATATTACAGTATTTTTATATTGTGTAAATAATCCTCAAGCGTAAAATATAAATTTCTCCATTATACGATTTGTTTGATCTGAGAATGTGATTATGTGAGAATGGAATATGATTTAAAGAAATAAATTATTAAATATTCAACAGAATTCACAATTACTGACAGGAGTCTGGTGAGTTCCTTGTATGTCATTGTTTCTTATTGTCACTAAAAGTGACTGTAATGTATATATCACTTGCAAAATACCTTTACTGTGGTATTCATGCCACTGAAAATAAGCATTATGTAATATAGAATGCCTTGCAATTACATCCTGCCTCTTAGGCAAGATTAGCAATTGTGAAGAACTGAAGTATATTTGTAATTGTTGCTCTCCTATTACATGACAGTAGAATTTTTTTTCCTGTAAGTTTTAGATTAAAGCACATTGTTGGGCTAACTAGCAGGAACTCTACTTTGCAGCCAACTGAACTGTATTGACCTCAAAGTGCTGCTAAAAAATTGGAGGTGAAATGGCTTTAGAAGTGCTCAATAACCCTTCATGATAGACTCTTTAAACTTTCTCATCTATACAAGTTAACAACAAGCAACCCTAAATAACCTTAGTTGTTACGTTCTGAGACTGTACTGGTGTCATGAAAGAGATTGTGATATCTATTCCTAGGAGACTTTTGCCATCACCTTCCCAACTAGCAGTGGATATGGGAAGCATATGCACAATAGAATAAGGAAGTTCCTGTATATTGTCATGCTATTTTATGTCCAGTCTGTGGCTTTTTGTTTCGAAGCATCAGGGAGACTGAAATTGGTCTCAATGTGTAAAATATAGGAGAGATATAAATGCTAGGGTCTTTCCAGTGATTTTATGCACATCCCTTTTTACAACTGGAGCTAAATCATTGCTATCTAATTTTAAACATCACTAACTTAAAATAATTTAAATATTTGAAGGAACAAAACAACTTAAGGTGAAATAATGGTCTAGACTTTTCATTGCTGCGTACTGATTTTTAAAACTAGTTGGGAAGGTTGGAAGCAGAAAGATACTTGGGGATGTCCTCTGCTACCATCTGGGCTTAGGTACCTTGAGACTCCAGTTTGCATTACTGCCTGCCTGTTGTGGGTCAATGTAAGCTGGGTGACCATAGGTTTAACACTAGATCTGAATGTTCATAACTGGCTGTGGAGATCCAGCGACAGACACTGTGAGATTCCAGTGTTCAAACATTATTGGAAGAGGCCTCCGGCCAAATCTCCAGCCAGGATCTCAGCAAGTGTTTTCCCAGCACTGTCATGCATATGCTTCAATGAGAAAAGGCACCATATCCAAACTTAAATGTGTTTCCACAGGCTACGCCAGTCCCCAGAGCAATCTGTCTCTAGTTAGCCATTCCTGTGGGACAGAGAAAACTGGGCAAGGCTGATGCACTTTTCGAGGCCATTTTTAGCACTATCTGGACTAAAATGGGTCCCAATCAAGAAGATGTGCTATAGGTTGCCCATAGGATGAAAAGATGACATTTAAAATGTTCAAGTTCATGGACAAGGTTCTCTGTTTGAACTATTTGAGTGTCTGAATGGAACCCTGAGGGAACATTAGTGATGAAAAATTGTATGCCCCTAAAGGACAGTGCCAGAGTTTTGATTTTAAATTAATGGAAGCAAAATCTTGGATGGCTCAGTCGGGGGCAATGGCAAGGAGAGGAACTGATATCATTCACACTAATTTTCTGGCTATAACGAAGATGTCTTTAAATAACCTTTAAACATACAGCAATAATTGAGATGGATAACCCTTAATAGTGCTTGCATGATAATTTTTTTTTGAACTTGTATTTGTTACAGGCGAGTGATCCAAGCAGATATGAGCTGATTCTAAAGGTTCAGACATTACAGAAACGTCTGATCTCTAAGACTGAGGAGGTGGTGGAGAAAGAGCTGCTTTTACAGGTGCATGTTAATGAAGTGAATAAAAAGGCTGAAAGAATTTGTTTCTTGCTTGTTGAAACCAGTGAGAATTGAAAGCATGATGTGGCCCATCAGCAATTCAACTTTTCTATTATTTAACATAATCATTGCAATAGTGCAGGATGCGTCAAACATAACATAGTCAGCTCTAATGGAACACAGCTGGATCACAAATCTGTCGATTAACCTCACTACTTCTTAAAGTGAATGAGTATCATTCACTCCAGTAGTACAAACAGCATTAATAGCACTGGTGCGCTTGTTAAACTCCTGTTCTTCCACCTTCAAGGGCATGATGTTGAATCAGGTGCAATGGATAAAACGATGAAACCTATAGTCAAAGGCCCACACTAAAAATGAATCCTGACTTGCCACTAGGTTGACCATCTCAGTCTGAGAAGTGACGATGTGTGTAACATTGGAAAGTTAAAGCATTCAAGTGCTGCAGCAGAGCCAGAGGGCTGCATGTTCCTTTTGCAGGTGGGATTCAGGAGGTAGGTTTGAACCTGGGTTGCAAACTCACATCAGGGAGGTAATGTCTAAGAGGTGTCAGTCCAATGAGCCAGGAAGGCCTTGGATCTCTTAATTGGGGTTTGCAATTTGCTGGGCTGGTCAGTCAAAACATGGGCCACATTCTGACGAGCTTTGGTGGTCATTGCCATGGCTGACGTTTTTATGTTAACTTTGTTGGATAGTGGTCAGCAAAGCTACAATTTTCCACACCTCAGATGGCAGTGTGAGGCTTGGAACAAGGGATTGGCTGACGCGTTCTTCAAAATCAATGAATTTTCCAGGAGGGTGTAAACCTGAAATGTTGACTTTCCAGCTCCTCTGATGCTGCCTGACCTGCTGCGTTCCTCCAGCTCCACACTGTGTTGGCTCTAACTCCAGCATTCGCAGTTCTTGCTTTCTCCGGAGAACCACTTTGTCGGCTCTCAACCCCTTCTGATACAAGCTGGCAGCTGACTCTGTCCTCAGAGCAGGTCTGCTTCCTGATAGCTGTTGAAGCCTTAATGAGCCGACGCCAATGTGAAGTGACTTATGAATAAGAGCAAATTGTTAGAAGCCTGCATCCATAAGCATTGTCCTTATCGGGCTTTGCTTGCTACTGGTTCACTGGCCACATGGGTGTATTCCTGGTGGTGGAAATATTGAATAAAATTATTTGTGCCACGGTCCCTTTACTGAGTCACTGCACATATACACACATGCCACAGGCGATGTGAAGAAAAATTAAGCACCTGGTAGAATAGGGGGAAAAATATAGACAGGGGGTTCAGAATTTCCTCAGTTCAGAAACAAATAAAACAAATAATTCAGAATTTCCTAAAAAAAAACAAAGCCTACTTCCTCTCCATCCTCAAGAAAATAGTGGAATATGGAAACAGGTTCATCTCCAAAGAAGGGTGTTGTACTAGAAATATTGACTTTGTTTCTCTCTCCACAGATGCTGCCAGACTTGCTGAGTTTCTCTAGCACTTTATTTTTTGTTTAGATCTCCAGCATCCATGGTATTTATAGTTGTAGAAATGGGTTGAGTTGACTCAAAGGCATCCCTTTTTCCAATTGTTCCACCTCAGTTCTACCTCATTGGAATTAGGAATTTTGTATGAAGGAGAGTGTGCTTTTTTTTGCATCCTGTCATGACGTACTTGAGTTGAGTGCACTTTGTGCTGATATTGCATTCCCAAAATAGAATATGTCCCATTTCTTAATGCTACTATTGCTCAACTTGACAATGCAACAAAATCAAAAAGAGAAGTAAAGGCTTATCCAGAAATCTAAATGTATTCAAATAATCACTCGTAAAACACCTCTAATTTAGTTTCCTGTGGGTTTTATGATCAGGCCGCAAAGTACAATATTGCAGAGAGCTTCACATTTTCTATTGTAATGAGATTTTGGCTGTATTGTTAAACCGTGACAATCGTTCTGCTTCTCTGTCCTGGAACTCACATTAGTTTCCCAGACCAAGTATACTGACATTTCGTAGACCAGTCCATTAACAGGATCCAGTTGCACTTCTCATATGCGGCTGTGTCTGGCAAAATCTAGGCTCCATTTCCCTTTCTGTAGCTCAAAAAAGTGAGCTTTCTCTCCAGGTGCCATTGAGACCATTATCTATTCTTGCATGTTTCTGGTGTAATGAAAACAGAATATCTTGGAAATGCACAGCAAGCCAGGACCAGCTAAAATGTTGACCTTAATAAAAACTGAAAGAACTGTGGATGCTGTAAATCAGGAACAAAAACAAAGTTGCTGGAAAAGCTCAGCAGGTCTGGCAGCATCTGTGTAGGAAAAAACAGAGTTAACGTTTTAGGTCCGGTGACCCTTCCTCAGAAGAGTTGAAAATGTTGACCTTTCTCTTTTCAAATCACAAAATTGACTGCAGTTTGGCAACATTTTTGGTTCCTATTTTTCAGATTCCCATGAAAGGGTTTGACATAGATATTAACAAGGAAACTTCATGATATTAACAGGAAAAGACAGAGCAGATAAAGATAAACTATTTCTAGTGGTTGGGGATTCTGGAGCTAGGGGGCATAGTCTGAGATTTAGGGCAAGACTCTAGGGTCCAGCCAGTCCTTGCCGAACATAATCCTAAACTAAACTGGTCCCTCCTGCCTGCTCCTGGCCCAAATCCCTCCAAATCTTTCCTATTCAAATACTTATCCAAATGTCTTTTAAACATTGTAAGTGTACTTGCATCCTCCACTTCTTCAGGAAGTTCATTCAACACACAAACCACCCTCTGTGTAAAAAAAATTGCCCCCATGTCTTTTTAAAATCTTTATCCTCTCACCTTAAAAATGTGCCCCCTAGTCTTGAAATCCCCCATCCTAGGGAAAAGACAACTGCCATTAAGTCTATCTATACCCCTCATTACTTTATAAACTTCTATAAGGTCACCTGTCAACATCCTACACCCAATTCTGCGCACAAATGGTGCTAGAGGTTTGGAACTCTCTTTCCACAAATGGCAGTGGATGCTGGATCAGTTGTTAATTTTGCATCTGACATTGATTACATTTTTGTTAAGCGAAGGTATTAAGGGATATGGGCCAAAGGCAGGTATATGGGATTAGGCCACATAACAAACAGGATCTCACCGAATGGCAGAATAGACTTGAGGGGCTACATGTTCCTATGTTTCTATTAACCAGCCTATGGTAATGTTGTAGGTTTGGGTTGGAAGTGTGTCTTACATCTGCCTGAGATTATCCTGCATTCATCTCAGTGGAAGGTAAAATTGGGTAGGGTATAAAGTGAGCTTCTGACTCTGATCCATTCTGTTTTCATGGGGCAGGGTGGGTTCAATTGCAGCTCTATTTTTTTTCTTCTAGACAATAGGAAATTTATTAAGTGAAGGAAGCCTAGCCTTTACTAGATCTGTCACAGAATGTCTTTGTTCTGTTATTTGGAGCAGGACCTCGTCTCACCTTAAGGAGAACCAACAAGTGATGTTGTATTTTTGACCCAGTTTATTTCTGCCAAACACTTGAAACAGGACTAGCTGCTGAATCCATTCATGAGCGGATACATTAACAGCAGGTGGCAGTAGATAACCAATATTTGACTGTATTCCATGAGTGAAACAACAGGAGGGATGAAAAAAGACATTTTCTTGTGATCAATTCCAACTGGAAATTGCTGATAAACAAACATTACTTTTTCTGAAACCAGAAGATAAAATTTATAAAAAGAGAAGTGTTCAAGGTAAAACAATTGTGGCAACTTAATTTGTTCCCTTCAGGCCACTTCAGTTCATCAGGGTATTGCAGCTTTGATCTAAGAAGGCCATATTTGTTGTGACACATTATTTAAGACAACATAAAACAAGAAATTTGCCTTAGAAATTAAGGAAGAAACAAAAGAAAATCACGATTCAAGGACTGTATGAGTAGCAATGGAAAGTCACTTAAAGTCTACTGTGGATTAAATTATTGAATCCAGTCTTATATAAACGAGTCATGTTTAGATTGTTCTCTGTCAGCACGCATTTAATTATGAACCTGTTCAAATAGAACTTAATTATTTTTGACACTCGTATTACAAAAGAAATTGTAGCTTTATTGTTTGGCGTTTTGCACCATTCTGATGTTCAATTTCTACTCCAGGAAAAAGAGAAGCTCTATGTGGAGCTGAAACACATCTTGGCACGACAGCCTGGACCAGAAGCTGCTGAACAGCTAATGATGTATCAGAGGACACTGCGAGATAAGACTAAACAACTGAAGGTGAGCACAGATGTTGGGTGTTTTACATTTTCTAATGCTCCTGTGGAGATACAAATGACTAAGTCCATTTTTCTTTCGATTCAGCGGTGCCTTGTTTTACATAATTTTTATCAGCTGGGAACTACTTTCCTAAGTTCCCCGTAGTCACTCCCCCACTCGCAGCTCAGAAAAACAATATTTTTCAGGACTCTATCGCAGGGGATATTTATACTTGTACCACCATGACTCATTGACATGATGTGAATGTGACTAAATTAGTAATTTGGTTTAATGTTCTGGTCAGGCAGCTTTATTGAAAAGTAACAAAGGATTTTGATTCAATGTTTCACAGGTCAGATAAGTTGGTGAAATGAATAATGTGTAATTTAGTGTGGAGCAGTCCCATTGCTTGTGCATAATGATAAAGTCGTATTTGTAAAATTTACATGTATTGATATAGTATGGCCCTGTTGTGGCGCAGTTAGAAGTCACACAACACCAGTTTATGGTCCAATAGGTTTATGTGAAATCACCAGCTTTCGGAGCGCTGCTCTTTGCCTGATGAAGAAGCAGTGCTCCAAAGGCTGGTGATTTCAAATAAACCTGTTGGACTATAATCTGGTGTCACGTGCCTTCTGACTTTGTCCACCCCAGTCCAACATCGGTACCTCCACCTTGTGGCGCAGTGGACTGAGAGGCCAGGGTTCAAGTCCCATCTGCTGCAGAGGTGTGTGATAGCAACTCTGAACAGATTTTAAAAAGTATTTTAATCAATGTAGAATCGACAGTGCCAATGATTGAGGGAGCTTTATTCTGGTCTTCCTTGACACACTAGTGCTATAAGCCATCGTCAACACTAATTTCAAGGCAAATTAGTGTAAACAGACACTGTTTCTTTAAGAGTTCTTTGCAACGTTACATTGGAGTATATTGTCCAAGTCCCTAGATCTAGCAGGGAATGTGAAGAGTAAGGGAGACCTAGAAGACAGGCAATCATTTCTCAAAGTGTCAGTGACAGATTACCAAAACAGAAGTGAATCTCATTGATAAATATTTTTCTAAAAATGATTCCATAAATAGTTTTCTTCTTGCTTATTGTAGGTAAACATAAAACAAGGTCCAAGCAAACAGATACAAAAACAAGCCTGTGCTCTGTGCAGACTGTAGGTACATAAATAGATAAATGTGTGTTGCTTGCACATCTCAGCTACATAAATAAATCTGTGCCACATTTGTCTCTACTGCTCATTATATAACAATTAGGAATACACTGAGAATAAATATCAGCCTCAGTGCTAGCTTCACTCCCATACTCATGGGGCTCTTTCAGAAGTCCTAGCACCGCCTCAAATTACATTCCTGTTAACTCAAGGGAGCCAAGATGTTTTCCTTGATATATTCTGCTGTAGCCATATGGGTAATGGGGAAGACGTTGCTTGAGCTCTTGGTTCTAGAGTCCGCACGGTGCTTGATTGTGGCTGGGTGCTCAGTACTCTTTCCCCACTCTGCCTGCAAAATAACATTGTGAGAGAGCAGGAACAGGGCAAGCCCAAGAAACACCAGTTAGAAGGGATAGACTGAAAATAAGAAACAAGCTACTACCTCACCTATCCAAAGTAGCGCTGATAACTTTGTCCCTCTTTCAACTTCTACTCCCTCACCCCCATCCACCATTTTTCAGCCATTTGCCCTTTTCTCCATATTTGAGTTTTTGCCCTTTTCTTTTCTCCTGACCTCTTTACTCTTGGTCAATTTAATATTTCTTTGCCTTTGTTTTGTCCTTTCTTCCTGCTGCTAGTTTTTTTTTCTCTCTCTTTCAAGCTGTCTAATTTCCTCATTTGCAGAAGGAAGGAGATGCAGTCAGAACACAGTACAAACAGGTGGCCAGTGGAGAGGTGAAAAATGAGCTTCTTTCAGGAAGCAAGTCTTCACCATTTCTGCATTCACTGCTGGAAGGGGCAGGTGTTAGCCTTCCACAGAAATTATTCTGCAATGTTTGCATGTAATTTGGATGCTGAGTTGAACATATTTTCCTATTAAATTTGATAGAACACTTGAAAAATGTTCTGGACATGGAGACTGTTTCACTATCCAGGAGGTTTGGCAATTCTGCCAAAGGAAGCAGAAGGTTGAGGATTTAAATACCATTGCACAGTCCAAGCCAACATAAACTGACAAGGGAAAAATTGTATTTGGTGAATAAAAAAATCCAGCAGTGGTTTCCAACAATGTCATTTCTGAAATGATCTTATAGTTCCAGCACTGGTAGGCTACAGAACTAGGGGCAGGGAACTTTTGGAGGCAAATAAAAGTCCCTACTTAAAATTGCAGTTACATGACTGAACAGTGCAACTTCAAGTGCAACAACTTTAAGTGAATTATATATTCTGACAGGAATCAATGTTGCAGTCAGAGTTAGATTTCTTTTGAAATTTTTGCCCCTAAAAAAACAAGTTGAAGTTTCGTGCCATTCATCTACAGCTTTGAGTATTCCTCACTGAAATAACAGGCAAAATAAAATACACTTGCTTGTATTTTAAGATTGACCAGTCTCCATCTGGACATTGGTTAGTGTTAGGAGCTGATAGTGCCCTTCAGTATGTGTTTGGCATCACGAATGGCCTAATGTAAGGACAGGGTAGGTAACTCTAGGAGGTAATGACATTAAATTGGGACTGCAAAGGTGATGTGAGGAAACAGGCCTTAAAAATAAAGCAAAATCTCAAGTCATCACCTAAAATGTCGACCGCCGCAGCTGAGCTATGAACCACTTTTAAAGCTTAGCTGCTGACAGTGGACACATAGGGACCAGTATGAGCTAATCTGCTAATGGAAACCACCATAACTCTGTTTATTGGCTTGTACATGTATTTTTCAAAGCTCTATTTCTTTTCACTGAAGCACTAGTGCGACTCAATAACTTTTGCTTAGTTTTTTTATGTTCTTGGTTGTTCACAGTAACGGCTAGGAGATTAATTTAACATTCGTTGAGACCCTAGATCAGCTAGAAGGGTTGATGGACTGTTACCAATACTAATGAACTGCTTTGTAGCTAAATGAATGAGCAAATAACAAATTCTCAAGCCTCTAACCCAATTACACTGAAATTGGTCATCACATTTTTTTGACTCAAACATAGAAACGTAGAAAATAGGAGCAGGATTAGGCCATTTGGGCCTTCATGCCTGCTCCAAAGTACAATATGATCATGGCTGATCATCCAACTCACTACCCTTTTCCTGCTTTCTCCTCATTTTCTTCGATCCCTTTAACCTGAACAACTATATCTAACTCCTTCTTGAAAACATCTCATAATTTGTCTTCAACTGCTTTCTATGAAAGAGAATTCCACAGGCTCACCACTCTTTGGCTGAAAATAATTCTCCTCATCTCAGTGCTAAATGGTCTACGCTGCATGCTGAGACTGTGACCCCTCATTTTGGACATCCTGGTCATCAGGAACATTCTTTCTGGGTTTACCCTGTCTTGTCATATTAGAATTTTATAGGTTTCCATGAGAACACCCCCTCAGGTCCAGTCACCCTTCATATGTCAGTCTGCCATGCCAGGAATCAAGCAGGTAGACAGTCTGACTTGTGGTAATACTGTTTAACTTTGTTTGTTCTATCCCTCATCTCCTTTCATCAAATTTCTAGTTCATATGGTGATGCAGTTTCATTGTCACCAAACATGGCCTTGTGACATTCTTTATATTTGTTCTTTGACAACAAATGCTGACGACTCGATAATTGCAGGCGCTGCACCTGATGATGAGTTTCTCCTCACTTTCTAACATGGGACAATCTCTGTCTTAATCCCAACACATAGCGGGGTGGGTGGCAGCCTGATCCCTGTATCAGCTACATCAGGGAATTGAAATTGATGATGATGAAATATGTGACCCTACTAGTCTATCTGCCTTAGCAACACTCTGTACTTTGACTTCACCCAGCTAAATTATTAACAACGATTTCAGAATCATTTATTGCAACTCAAATTTTTTTTTATTATTCATGGGATGGAAGTGTCACTGGCAAGGTCAGAATATAGTTCCCGTTTCTAATTGCCCTTGAAAAAGTGGTAATAAAGCCTCTTTTTCAATGGTTTGTTACCCCATTTTGGAATACAGCTAAAGTCAACTCGATTGCTTTGAGTCTGGAATTAAATATAGCCAGACCTGGTAGGGATGACATATTTCCTTTTCTAAAGGGCATCATTGTTAGGTTTTGAAGGCAATCCACTTGTTTTTGTGGTGGCCATCACTAACACAAGCGTCTTATTCCATATTTGTTTAATTGATTGATTTAGTGGGATTTGAACCCATACGTTTCCAGATCATTTGGCTTCTGGATAGGAGTCCAATAAAAAATTTCTTCGGTATCCCATTCTGCAAGTGATATTTGTACCAGTGAGTTAGGCATATCAGCTTAAGCATTCGGAATCCAGTCCTGAATTGTAGAAAGGCAAAGATGCATGTGCATAATTTTCATTCTTCATTCAGGGAAAATAAATTAGTACTTACAGCTTGAAGGATGAGTCTGTCAGGAAGTAGGATGGAGAGTGAGGCGGTAACCTCTGTCATTGACAACCTGATGGTTTGACCCACTGTCACAGCATTATTTTTTCTATTCTACTGATTTATTGGCGAAATAATGTAAAAGCTGCTTACTGTGTTGTTGACCTTTCATTCTGTCTTGTTCCACAGCCAACTTTTAGACAACTATTTAGATTGAGAATTGTGCTACTATTAATTGGAGGTCAAAAAGCCAGATATCCTAATGTTAATTAAATTATTTTAGCCATTACTTTTCCTATGTGTGTCTAAGGGCTATATATTTGGATTAAGCAGGGTTTTAAAAAAACTGCGGTTCGTGCATTGACATTATGAGAATGACAAAGTAGCTTTGCTTGACCTTCAATCTATACAGGACATCTTTCCAAGCATGATAAAGGGCTGTGATCATGCCAGATAACCTATAAGGGTCCAGAGAAGCGGCTCATTCTCCTTCTAGCGACAATGATGGAGGATCACTATGTGATAGCAATCTGAAATCATTGACATAAAAAAGCACAAGTAAAGCTGGTATTGAAAAGGAGATTCATTCTACAACTTCACAAGATACATTTCTTTTCCATCTCACAACCTTTATTAATGCAAAATTGAGTTTTTAATATTATAAAGTTGAATTTGAGGGTCCCCAGAACATTTGCTATTCTTGGAATACCCTTTCCTAGATTGAATTCTTATCTTTAGTGTAGAAATTCTGCTTCTGTCATTAAACTGTTAAGTGTAACATTTGAAGCCGATTTAATTTGTAACATTGATTTACGTGCTGAAGTTTTCATCATTAATGACTGTTGCTGCAATGGCTAATGTATGACTCTCGAAAGGTATTAACCTGCACATGGCACATTGGAAGTTTGAAACATATTGGTTGTGTGTCCAGCATTCTTGTGAAATAGTAATCAAAGGTGCAGTTTATCATTAAGGATGGAAAGAAAAGCCAAAAGTACTGCAGATGCCACAACAGAAGGTATAGAAAATATTCAGGAGATTGTCTCCCATCTGAAAGAGAAAAGATAGGTTAACATTTTGGATTGCTACCCTGCATTAGGATTTGTAACCTGCTGTTTTCCCTTCTGTTTTAGAGTAGTGGCTCGGCCTTATTGCTATGAATTTAGGATTTTTTGAATATTAGAGTCCAAATGATTAACACATTTGGAAGTAAGAAGATTAACTGCTGTTTTAATAGAGGTGCTAATCTATTTAAAATAAACATTTATGTTCTGGTAAAATGTTGTAGACAAGAAGCTTAGGGATGAGAGTGGGCCATTCAGCCCCTTGAGCTTGTTCCACCATTCAGTTAGATTGTATCTGATCTGGATGTCATGTCATTGGATTAACCAAACTTATCGCAATCTTTGAAGAGCATTAGTCACAGCATTTGTCTTTCTAATGTCTTTTCACACACTGGACTGAGATGATTTGTACTGTATTAAAACAGTACATTTCTTTCAAAACCTAGTTAGTGTCAGTAACTTCCAACATCCAGTTCCTCTGATGCTGCCATTGACACTTCTGCTTGAGATAAACTTATTCAAGTACACGTGACAGGGAAGAACTATAAAAGGATTTGAGAAGGATACCTCTGGCTGCAGATTGGAACCGAAGAAAGCAGTACTCATCATTAATGTCAGCCAGCCTTCTTGCAGGCTAAAAATTGCTTCATAGGGAATATAATGTACATATTTCACCCACAGTAGATAGCTGTATGAGTCAATCTAGATCGAAATATCATGCTCAAAAACTGTCTAATATTTGCAAGAATCTTGTAGTCATTGCACCACCACCAGGAGGTATGGGTAATGATTGGCACCTTATTCCTTTACAGCCTAAAACATGGCATTTTGGTTTAGACAGATTTATTGACAGCTTCATTGAAGATGTAAATTGAGCACATTGTTTACCAGTCAATCCGAAATGAAGCTAAACCTATAGAGAACTTGTCAGACTTATTGACACTACTGTTGATTCTTATTTAGTTAAATGTCGACATTAGCCTGGAGTCTTCCTTTCATGTTGATCAGCAAAGTAATTTTCCATCTGTCCTGAGTTTTAGCAAGATGACATTTATGTACACAGAGGCTCTGATGTGTTGCGTTACATCCAGAACCTGTTAAAGCAGAATAATTGATGTGCAGTGTTTGTTTGTATGCAGCAGTTTCCATCAGGGGAGTGATGTGCACTTTATTCCTGCCTCCTCAGACCAGGAGGTGATGCTATTGGAATTGTGCTGTTCCAGAAATGAGTGCATAAGTGCACATTGTATAATCTGTCACAGGGATTCATCCAGCTGAAAATCTCATATTTGTTACATAACACAATGCACTCGAAGCTCCATTGTGGAGTTTATAGTGATACGGTAGTAAACTGCTGCCTGTTTTGCAGCTATTTCTCGACAAACCCTCCTCAGCAACCTGTGCTCATTGACCTCTCCTGTCCTCAAATACCTGCATTGCATTTATGGTTATTCAGGGGAGAATTACATTTTCACAAAAGTTTTAAGTCTGTAGCATTGATCTTTCACTGTATAGATGCAAAAATTACTTACACTCAAGGGAATAGCCTTTTTCTTTTATCATAAGATTCAAAATGAGTTTGAACAAATTTCTCACTTGCCTTTCTGGCAATTGAAGTTCTCTGAAAATATAGTTTGAGGGGCAAACAATTTCTCTCTCTTTTCCATCTGAAATGGAAACTTGCATTTGGATGCTCAAGTAATTCTCTGCAAGAAATTCTGTTGAGAAGACACCATCCTCTTCCAAGTCAAAATAATGCAGCCACCTTCATAGGTAGTTCATGAGACAATTTGTCCTGAATTGCTTGGAATAGGATTTTTCTGGGTGATGTAGTCGGTGTTGGAGCTGTGATCACAATCTTAAGCTACTGCTGTTCATTGCGTAAAGAGGCTCCTCTTTGATGATTCAGGCCAAACTTTTAGGTCATTGATACACAGTTGCTGATTCATAGGTTTTTGATAGCTGACAGTGATACATTTTTACCATTTGTAATGTTTTAGTCACCCCAGTAATGATCTCCTACAACCTCTTCTGTCAGGCAGAAAATACAGAAGCCTGAACACATGCACCTGCAGGTTCAGAAACAGCTCTTCAGGGCCATTATTAGACTGATGAGTGGTCTCTCTAACCTCAAATAATACTGATCTTGCTCATCTTGATCTTGCCTAACACACGCTCGTGCAATGTAACCTGTATGCCTCTGTCTAAGTCTTTTTACAACCTCTCATCTGTACATCCTTGCTTACTATGATCTGCCTGTGCTGCTTGTTAACAAAGCTTTTCAATGTACTTTGGTACACCTAACAATAAGTCAATCAATCAACTTACAACCTCTGATGAGTTTTGAAGCACTTAAGATACTCCACAATGTTTTCATCTTCTCATTGTCATTGTTTATTTGCTAATTAATATGATTTCTCATATTGAGTAGACAGATGGAAGTTTGTCACAATAGTCATTTCCAAATAGCCTTGACAAAACCTTCTATAACAATTGATAATCATTTGAAGAAATGAAACCACAAGTTAATTATTTATTAATGTCATGATCTTTTGTTCAATTTTATTTTGATAGGCCTTGACCTCAGAGTTGAACATGTTTGAATCACAGAGTCAGGAGTACAAGTATGAGATTGAACGACTAGCCCAGGAACTGCAGAATATAAAAAAGAAGTATCACAATCAGAAACGCAAGGAACAGCTGGCTAAGTATGAAATATTAATGTAATTATGAACCAATTGGCAAGGTTGCACTTCCTCAGAGTACTGTTAGCTCCTAAGGAAGCAATGGTACTTATACCAGACATTCCAAGGTTAGCAACTTTAGTTTATATATAAAGAAAAGAAGATATTTTAAGCCATTGTAATTGAGCTAGAATCATATTTTGGGCTATCTAATATGTAGCTTCATTTTGTTGGCTTTTCATTATTTCTGATGGTTTACCTTTGGAGAGTGACAAGGAGAACAAAGCCCATTACTGCCCAATCCCATTCCTTTATTCTTTCTGCAGGTGGAGTCAAGAAGGAATTAGGGTACAAAAAAAAGTTGCTCCCACCTATCCCCTCCTCCCACCTCAAGCCCCACCTTCATTTCCTACCTACTAACCTCATCCCGCCCCCTTGACCTGTCCGTCCTCCCTGGACTGACCTACCTCCTCCCTAACTCCCCACCTACACTCACCTTTACTGGCTCCATTCCCGCCTCTTTGACCTGTCTGTCTCCTCTCCACCTATCTTCTCCTCTATCCATCTTCTATCCGCCTCTCCCTCTCTCCCTATTTATTTCAGAACCCCCTTCCCCTCCCCCATTTCCGAAGAAGGGTCTAGGCCCGAAACGTCAGCCTTCCTGCTCCTCTGATGCTGATTGGCCTGCTGTGTTCATCCAGCTCTACACCTTGTTATCTGAGATAATGAGTAGATGGTCAATTTTCTTCATGCTATTGATTGAGGGCTGGACACTGGGAGAGCTTCTCATCTCTTCTTCGAATTGTACCTTGGAAACTTGATGCTGCCCTGAGAGCACAGACAGGGTTTTATTTTAATGCCTCACCTGAAAAATAGCACCTCCAACAGCGTAGCACTCCTACAGTACTGCACTGAAATATCAGCCCAGATTTTGCTCAGGTTTCTAGAATGGGACTTGAATCCATAAGCTTCTGACTTAGATGTGAGTATGTTACTAATTGAACCACAACTGACAATCTAAGGTGGATGCTTGCTCCTTCTCTCAATTTCTCAGAGAGCTGCTAAACATCATTGAGTGGAACTGGGTCAAATAAAAACAAGTCAAAATATGAGACTTAATAAGTCTCACTTCTTGAAAGTTCAGCACATTAATAAAACTATATATTGAAGCAGCTCACTATCTAATGGTTAAATTGAAAGGCATATTGAGGGAATTGAATTTGATTGGCGGGATAGGTAGAACTTTCTGGCAATATTTTAGTTACATTTGACAGCAAATAGTGCCCTATTCTGTTAATTTATCCTAAACACTCAGTTATATCTGTTAACTGTTTATTTGGGAATCTATATTATGTTTCTGTGAATGAACGGAACCAGTTTTATGCAATAGTATTGTGTTTACTTGTATGCTCACAGTATGTCTGACTTTTGAACACTCAAGATTTTCATCCATAATGTATTTATCTTCCACATGGACCCTGTGTGTGAAACTAAAATTTGGTTGTGAGAAAATAACCTATAGCTTTATTTTCCACAGGGCATTAAGGTTAGCATTTCTTCAGTAATGGTCTGAAATGATAGAAAAGGAGTAAAGTCTAGTAATAGCATCTGGTTCTGATATTAGTGCTCTGCAATGTGTTCCATCTTTTCTAATTATTTTGTTAAAGTAAATTGAGGAGAAAGTAAAGACGACATTGTATGCAATATCAGTAGCCTATTAACACCTTGTTAATGATATTTCACAAGAAAATAATTGATATTTCCAGTGAAGAGAAGTAATAATCAGTTAGTTTGTGCACTGAGCTGAGGTTAATTGGATGACGTGATTCAGCAGAAGGTGATGCATGGTCATTTTGGAAATGGATAAAAGGCCCGCATAACTATTCTGCAGTGTCTTGCAAAAAGTAACAGGTAGCAGCTTAGCAGCACTGACTTCACTAAAGGTGCTTTATCAATGACCCCCTCTCAATCATAAGGTCAGGATTGTGATATTTGTTGATTGCATTGTTCAATTCCATCTGGAACTCCTCAATTAATGAAGCAGTCTATGGCTGCATGCAGTAGGACCTGGATATAGTTAACCAAGGCTGATAAGTGGGTGACTACCATTCCCAATACACTAAAACCAGGCAATTACCATCTCCAAAATGAGAGCTAATTTAAAAGGTTTCTGGATAAGCTCCTGTAGTGCTATAATCTGCAAGGCTACTGACCAAATGCTGGAATCATAGAATCCCTACGGTGTGGAAGCGGGCCATTCGGCCCATCGAGTCCACACCAACCCTCTGAAGAGTATTCAACCCAGACCCACCCAGTCCCTGTAACTCTGCATTTCCCATGGCTAACGAACCCAGCCTGCACGTCCCTGGACACTATGGACAATTTAGCTTGGCAAATCCACCTAACCTGCATCTTTGGATTTTGGGAGGAAACCGGAGCACCTGGAGGAAACCCGTGCAGACACTGGGAGAATGTGCAAACTCCACACACTCAGTCGCCTGAGGATAGAATCAAACCTGGGTCCCTGATGCTGTGAGACAGCAGTGCTAACCACTGAGCCACTGTGCCATCCTGACTAGGTGGGATTAGGCTGGGAGGTTCATTTTCTGCCCAGAACAGACTTGATGGACTAAGTGAACTCTTTCTGTGCTATAAATATTGTCTGATTCTAAGAGAAATTCTGATATTTCTCTTTGATATTCAATGACACTGCTATCACAAAATCCACCACTCTCAACATTCTGGAGCTCCCCATCGATCAGAAACTGAACATGAACATCTATATAAATACTGTAACTTCAACAGCAGATCAGAGATTGTGTATGGACTGGTGAGTGACTCAACTCCTGACTCTTCAAAACCTTTCCATCATCTACAAGGTATATGTTTGGAGTGAGATAGAATAGTCTTCACTATATGGGAAGGCGATGGCCTAGTGGTATTATTGTTGGACTGTTAATCCAGAGACCCAGATAATGTTCTGGGGACCTGGGATTGAATCCCGCCATGGCAGATAGTGGAATTTGAATTAAATAAATATCTGGAATTAAGAATCTAATGACGATTGTGAATCCATTGTCGATTGTCAGGAAAAACTCATCTGGTTCACTAATGTCCTTCAGGGGCATTAAGCCTACATGTGACTCCAGACCCACAGCAATGTGGTTGCCTTTTAACTGCCCTCTGGGCAATTAGGGATGGACAATGAATGCTACCCTTGCCAGCGTACCCTTCATCCCATGAATGAATAAAACAAAACTTACCTAGGTGAATGTAGCTCCAACAACACTCAAGAAAATTGGCACGCCAACAAAGCAGTCTTTTGGATTGACACCTCAGCTATCAACTTAAAGATTCACTCCCGTCCCTAATAGATCCCCATGGCTGTAATGTGTGACATCCTTACGGTATAACTCACCAAGGCTTCTTTGACCGTACCCACAACGTGTATAATGAGAACAGCACGGTTAACAGGTGCCTGGGAGAACTACCACCTCCAAGTCTCCCTCCATCCTGTTTTGCAAAATTGTCACAAATCTTTTATTCGTCCAGGATAAAAAAAAAATCCTGGAACTCTGTACTTAATAGCACTGTGGGAGTACATCACACAGACGTCAGCATTTCAAGAAGCTAGCTCACTACCAACTTCTCAAGAGGGAATTGGATAAATGCAACAAACATTGGTCCGCCAGCACGCATTCATCCCATCAGTGCATAAAACAAATGCCCATACCAGACCCAAATTGCCTTGGATAGCTGTGAAGGATGAGTCTTTCTTCTTTGGATGGAGATGCTGAGCCTGATGAAATTAGGAGTGGCTATGATCAATCTGTACCAGTTGCTGAATGAAGAACTGGAGAAACAATCAGGTAAGGATACAGCAATTCTTGAGGCAGTTCAGATCAACACCACTATCAACATGTAAGTCACAAGAAGAGCCGTGCCAGGAATATCACATTAAATCAGCTGTTAGACTGTAGACTGCGGAATTAAGGATGGCACTGCTGTTGCAGTCTTCACAAGAAGTTCAGCAGTGACCATAGCCAAAAATGAAATAACAGCACTATTTATCTAAAACACACCCTCAGCGATTGTCTGTGTGGAGTTTGCACATTCTCCCCATGTCTGTGTGGGATTCCTCTGGGTGCTCCAGTTTGCACCCACAGTCCAAAAACAGTCCAAAGATATGAAAGTTAGGTGGATTGGCTACGCTAAAATTGCCCTGTATTGTCCAGGGATGTGTAGGTTAGATGTGTTAGCCATGGGAAATATGGGCTGGGGGAATGGGTCTATGTGTGATGCTTTTTGGAGGACTGATGTGGACTTGTTGGGCCGAATGGCCTGTTTCCGCACTGTAGGGATTCTATAAATTTCTAAAATATTTGGTTCTCCTAAGTGTGGAATGATTGACTCGCATAGCAATATATACAATAACTCAATTGTCCTTTCGGACATTGGAGTGAGAAGGTGCTACCCAAACCACATGTCAGAATAGTGTAAAGAAATTCATACTCTGTCATTCTGTGTTATGGTTAAAACTTAAAGCAGTCCATGATCTCTGAGCTCTTTGGGACAAAGGAAGGATTAATGGCTGTCTATCTTTGATACGAATAGTGCTGTGCTACTATGGCAGATATGATCTTTACACAACTTCCACAGTATGCCAGACAGCAAATAATTGGTGGTCATGTGCAAACATCATTTACCCTGCACTTGAGTGTGTGTTCTGTAGAGAAATGATAACTACAGTACACACAGCTTAAAAGCCAATGGGCACAGGCATAGTAGTGGACTTATGTGAGGAGCAGCAAGTCAAAAATACTGATACAAACAATGGATAATGCAGGTTGGAGAAAGATTTGTCACAACCTTGTGCTATGACTTTGGAAAGGCACCATAAATCCACTTTAGATATCTCCCCAATAAGTTAACAAGAGAACAGAAAAAGAGTCTTTCTGAAGCAGGGTCTAGGCCCGAAACGTCAGCCTTCCTGCTCCTCTGATGCTGCTTGGCCTGTTGTGTTC